AGTAGAAGTAGCAGAAGTAGTAGCAGTACTAGAAGTAGAAGTAGTGGAAGTAGAAGAAGAAGTGTAGTATGGTATGTGGTGACACTTTCACTCTGCTCCATCGAGAGCATCAGCAGCTTCTGCTCGAGCTCCACCCTCGCAAGACCGCGGTTCCGACATGAAGAGAGGAATCTCTGGTTGCCTCGAACTCTAAACCGCCTCTGTGAGGCATGTGCTATACGAGACTCCTTGGAGTTGGATGATTCTTGGACGTCTATTGCATAGACCCTGCAGGTTTGCCCATCGCCTGTTACGGCCAAGCACCTGAGCACGTAGCTTCCAAGGATCGGGAGAAGGCACGCGAGCAGCTCGAGGATGCAGCTGCCGGCAACATCCTGCTGGAGCTCATGACGGCCCCGCGGAACAAGGAAAGGGTCAGGAGCATTTTCCCCCGGGGCTTTCTGAGCGACGAGGTTCTGCTTCAGAGTGTCATTGGGAGGTTCACCGTAATTTCGCCGAGGAAGCGCAGAACAACGCGGAGCTCGTAGACAGCCTCGCAGCCGAGCTTCCTGGAAAGCTCATTGCAATTGCTACTCCTCTTGTGGCTCGCCTTGAAGTTGCAAGACAGCCCATTGTTCTCGCGCTGCAGTGCTATGGATGCCCGATGCACCTTATTTAGGCGATCTGACAGCATGACCAGACTGCAAGATGTCAAGCCGTTCCGATTTCCGAGATCATGTTTTTTCTCATCTTTGCTATCTACATCCTGATTTGCTGCTGGACGGCATGTCCATGCTGCAAGTGCTGTCGCTGCTGCCGCGGGACCGGGAAGCAGGGGATGCAGAAGATGCTGAAATTCTGGTTGTGCGCTTCTTGGTTTCTTTTAGAGCATGGAGTTTGCGCGTGGTGGCGAATTCAGTTCGCAGGCCCTGAGCCAGCAGGGTTTTCTGTCCTGAAACACGCATCCTCCTGCAAATTGCTGGGTGCCCTGTCAGAAGACAGCTTCGTTGAGTAGGAGTCGAGCAGGAGCCAAGCTCAAGTCTCGGCAGGAAAAGGAACATTCCCTTTATTGTGAAGCTGCTCTTCTTGCTCGTGATTCTTGACTGAGAAAGCTTCTCATCGGTTCATTCGACACCGTTCGACCTAGAATTTCTCGGCTCATTCCCGAGGATCGGAGGCGTAGTCTTGGCTCTGGTGATCTTGTCCAGCTTGTCCACACGCGGTTACTCGAGGGCCGCTATCCTGAAATCCAAAGGTGGAACCTTTGTGTCTTTGTCGTGCTTCACCTGTGTGAATGTTGATGCTGTGTTTGTTGATAGGGGACGAATGTGGCGAAATTCCAATCCCGAGGCTGTGGAGGGGTTCGACGTGACAAACTGCGCTGCGGCACGAATGGCTGCTCGTCTGCAACTGGGCCTGTAATTGCTGGGCACTCTGCTTATCACCCAAGGTGAATGCCACCTTCCAGGGACAGAGTAATCCTTACTTCTTGGGCTTGATCCCTGTGCTGAACATCTTCGACGAGCTCGAAGGCCGCAACTGCGGAGGCCCCGTCGCAACCGTCGGTCGCTTGCCTCGAGGCAGCCTGGCCGAGAACTCGCAGTTCATCAACGACCTCCGAGGCATTTTGTTAGACACCCAGGCAGGAGCCGGCCCGGCTAAAACCCGCATACCCTGCTTCCCCCGGCGAGGGAGGGCGGAGGTGTGGTGTGCCTGCAGCGTGTCTTGGGACTTCGCTTTCGTCCGTGGCAAGGACATCACCGATTCCGTCACTGTTGCGACTGCACCTTGGCCTCGGTCTCTCACTGTGCGACCTTCAGGGCCCTCAGGCTGAGTGGGCTGAGTAGGCTGAGTAGGATTCTCCAACTCAGCAAGTTACGTAAGATACGGAGTTTGTTTTGAAGACGACAGAGCGGTAATATGGTTTGACAGAGCCAATCTTGTCAGCAACTTGGATGTGGATGAGGATTTCACATAGACTCCATGAGGCCACGTTGGATTTGCTCAGCGCGATGTTGAGCGACTCTCGGAACACGTTGCCGACGGGCACATTTCATGAGTGTACGGGCCCCAGCAGAGGCTTAGGGCTGCTTTTCGATTTTCTTGCCTGCATGTACCGTAAATGTTCATTCTGTACTCTAGTGGATCACATGTGCTCCCAGGCGCGGCCTGCGGGCCTTTGGCCTCGACGCTGAGCGATGCTTCTTGGCAGAACAGTGGACCGCAGTCAATTCCCAGTAGCGGCATGGTGGAGTATAGTGAGGGGGCCCCCGGAAGGTGAGCAGCGCTGTCTCTGCTGGCACTGCTGCTGCACTCAGTGCAGCGCGTGTTGAGGTGGACAACCAGCTCTCGGGAAGTTCCCTGGCTTGAGTTACGACGTCTCGTGCGGACAACACGGTTGCTGTGCAAGGCAGCTTGGTCAGCCTTCGGAGCTCCCTGAGCACCGTGCCTCGGCCAGAAACAAGGTCGCGCCGCGTGAGCCGTGGGACCCGTTGTGACCGAAAGAGAGCGAGTGCATCGGATGATAGGTGCCCCTAAACCCTAGAGAGTTGAGTAGAGGTTCCTTGGTTCCTTCCCGGCCTCCATGTGGTTTCCCAGAGTTTACCTTTCCTCGCTGAGGGGTATTACCGTGTATGAGATGCCCTTGCCTCCATGGCTTTTCTAATCGTTGAGCCGCTTCCAGGCGACTGCTCCACTTGTCGAGCTGAAGACGACCATTAAGTCAAGCTTCACTCCCTTCGTGGAGGACCGTTTGTGGCTCTTTTGGCGACCCCTTGCTGCTCCTTTGTTTAGCTGCCTGAACACCGGCAGTCGCCGAGGACACTTTGATGGAAACGCTGTCTGACCAGATGAATGCCAACGGGTTTCATGGTTGCATGACGTAGTATATACATGTATATATGTACATATATATATATATAGACGATACCTTCTCTGGAGCATCTGTCTGCTCACAGTAGCGCATGTCAGGCGTGTCGAAGACTAGGACTGGGGAGGTCTTTGACTGTCTTTGGATTGTGGCCTGAGGACAGTGGCCAGCGTGTTCATGATTGGTTCCTGGCGCAGCAATGTGGTCTGCGGTGTAGAGACCGTTCCACAGTGCACTCGCCTTCACATCCAAGGTCTGGCATTGGCTATTGCAGCTTGCGCGATCATTGCCGTTCTGGTGTGGATGTGCTGCGACACGCGTCGCTGCTCGGGTCTTCTATGCGGCTTCTTCGTGTTTGTTGCAGACTGGCGAACGCTCTTTCACGTATAAGGCAGCTGATGCAGCACTGAGGAAGCGATGACAGTGGAGAACCGGTGAGCAGTCCCTGGACGTACCGATGCGCATGCTGCACTTGGTGCTGCGGCTACGGGTCTGCACCACAAGCAGCTGCAGTTCTTCACTGACCAACAGATCCCTTTAGAATTGCATGATGATCTGGATCTGTCGTCTTGGAGCTTCGATCTTCGGGGTAGACATTGGTTCCGATCAGAGAGACATCTGAGAACCCCTCCCTACCTTGGCACTTCCAGGCTGCTACTACACGATGTTGGCCTTCTTCCTGGGTGGTATCCTGCTGATTTTGGCCGTACCACTATCCTCCATGTGCCTGATAATGGAGGATATCAACAGCCAGCGTCCTAGTTTGCGCCATCTCTTCTTGCCACTCCCTGCTCCTAGACAGTGTCTTTTCCACCGTCATTCGAACTGCAGGAACTTCGCGTATCGTAGTATTGAGGCGTCGCTGCAAGGCGAGGAAACAGAATCACTGGAGGCTCTTTTGAATGGACCAATGGCAGATGGATGATAGATGAAAGTAGAAGTCGGGCATCAACCGATGCCACCAGCTTTTCAAAAAGAGACGAGGAAACTCTCGAGACACGAAAAAAGCACAGTATATGAAGCAACTCACAACCGTGAGTGACACACATACATGGCCATTACATTTGAGTCTAGAGAAGATTTGCATAAACTCGGGGAGCAGACGCAGTAGACATGTGCATGAACGATTGACTGATGGACGGACTGACTGACTTGTGGACGGACCGAATCTAACCAATGCACAAACGATTGAAAGAAGGAAAGAATGGAAGTATGATGAACACATGCAATGATGAACGAATGAATCAATGAACGATTCAACCGCTGAACTAGTGAAAGAGGGGCAGAAATAAAGAAAGGAACGACCGAACTACATAACTACATAAGCAAAGGCATACGGGAAAGAAACAAAGAGCACATGAATGGAATGAATCAAAGAACGAACGAAGCGAACGAACGAACGAACTGGAGAAGAATTGCAACAGCAAGAGCGGCAACAGTAGCAGCAACGACTACAACTGGAACTGCAACAGTCACCTTAGAAACGAATATGCCGTGATACAAGATCGCTTCATTGCTGGCAGTTGGCTCGTTAGTCAGGATCGTAGTCTGAAGTTGTGACTTTCGTGGCGAAGGGTGCAAGGATTAGGCTGACCGGCAAGCTCCGAGCGTTCTGATGTGTGGTGATGAGGCCAAATGATCACGGATATCTCTGGAGCATTGGAGATTGAGATTGCCGGTCCTACCGGCCTCTTGGCAAAAGCTGATGAGCCGTTGCATTCCCCGGAGCATGGACTGCTTGAGACATGCTGCGCAAGCAGAAAGGCCTGCAAGCCACTCTCATGGCCATTGCCATGACAGTCCTTGGCAGAAGTCTGACGTGCACCCAAGGCGACATGATGGGGTCCATGATTGACCAGTGCATTCAGAACTCCACTGCCAACCCCAGGCGCCGGGCAGTCTCGTATTGCTTCGTTTGGGAAGCCTGTTCTGGATGTGAAGGCTCCTCGATCTCATTACGATCGAAGAGAACGGCAATCAAGTCACCATGTACAACAAGCTGGTGGTGCAAACACAGGCATGCCAGATTTCCGGAAAACACGCATCTCAGTCGGAACTCTGGGATAGACCTACTTAGTCCAACTTGCAGTGACAGGCGCAGATCACGACCCAATTTGATCAGCTCGGGATGCCTGCTTCAACAGCTCAAAGACTGCTGCAGTGTTGCTTCTTTTGACAGCGGCTTCTCTGGTGTTTCCCGGAAGACTTCGCCAGCCAAATCCGAGGAACGCTCCCAGTTCGAGTCTTGCCAGTTCCACTGAGGCCTGGCGGCCCGGGCCTCTTTGAGATTCCCAGCTGTGTCAAAGCTCGGGTTTGTCAGGTTACGAAGCTGACACAGATGCTGTGGCGGCCTTTCCTGCAGGGTCCCCGGGCCGGCTGCTGTAAGACTTCTTGTGACCTAGGCGGGATGTTCCGTTGGATGCAATGATGCTGCCCAGCTGCACTTAGAGTCTACAGGCTCCTGGCCGTTGGTATTGGACAACCAGCGCCAATTACGGTCCGTGCTTGATGTTGACGTGTAGCGGTTCCTGGAGTTTCAGCAAGAGAGTATGAAATATGCGAGCTGCTGGAAGTGGCACAAGTGTGCCAGATTGCTTTCAGTTGCAGTGCGACTTCTGGTCATGCGACGACATCATTCTGCCCGCGTCGTTGTTTTCATGTTCCCGCATGTTGCCGCCTCGGTGTTGTGAGTTGTCGCGGTCAGTTGCACTCCGAATTGCCCCGGGAAGTGTTCATTCCTCTAGTACGTCCTTACCCACAAAGATGTGCAAAGTCATTCAGGGAGAACAGGCACGAAATGTAACCAAGTATGCCGTAGCAATCTCGGAAGTCAGCGGAACCAGAGAACTTGATAAAACCAGAGAAATGAAGGAAACCGGTGGCACTCCGCCACAACGTTGTATGAACACTTTCTCCGAAAGGGTAAGCTGTGAACAACGTTGCTAGCACAATGCCGAATGTTGGTGCCGAGCTGTGGTGTCTGTAGAGTGTACTGCTTCGAGCGTTCTGCCAAGCTGTTGAAGCTTTCGAGCGGCTCGCTCTGCAGGTTTCCTCAGCAGTCGATTGGGAGCAACCCAGACTACCAGGCCTCCCTTGGCTGAATCAGGATCCTTCTCCTTGACCTGTGTTTGCGAATCGCTGCCAGCCCATGTTGGGAAACACCAATCTCGCCCCATACATTGCCTCTTCCGCTTCCTGTGCCTTGGAGAGCAAGCAGGGATATTGCAGGAAGTTTCAATGAGAGGCCGATTTCTGAGGCACCAGCTTCACGGTGCCAACTGGCTACTCCCTCCCACAAGAGGGTACCACGACGAGACTTGTTTGCATGGTGCATTGCTGCGCAGTTTACATTATGACTGTCCAACAGTGAAGTCGCCAGTTCGAAAGCAAGCCCATCCCAGGGATGGCATTGTCGACTTTACCGTGGCAGTCAGCTGCTTGACAGCATGTCCTTGCTGACTCTGACTGCATCCTCAGAGTTCAGCTGTTGCCGTGCCTTGCTCAGAAGGTTCGGGATGCTGGGGGGATTTGTGAAAACAGGCTCGGTCGATGCCCCAGACTCCCGGGAGGTTTGGAGGGCTATGGGGGCATCCTTGACTACAGCCCGACCACCTGTGCGAAGCAGGTTGTGTGCACAGCCTCTAGGCGGCAAGGAACATTGCAATTCTGCCCTGCACTGCGCCGTGCCTTGTGCTGCCTTGCACTGCCAAAGAGTTTTTGCTCTGAATTCCGGCCGAAGCCAGATCGGGTCGTCGTATGTCGTTATCTGGCATGTCTCTGCTTGGTGTATCAGGGATTTACAGCTCCTGATCCGAATGCGCAGTTCTGTGCCAGGGGCTCAGTGCATGAACTGCCGGATGCACTGGGTGGCAAGACAATTCTTGTCATACTTCTTTCCCTGAACAGCGACGAACGAAGGCGGCGGCCTCTCGGTTCATGGATCTCAAGCAGGCCTCGTGCAGAAGTTTCAACGGACAGTGCATTCTGTCCTTGCTCCACTGTCCCTACAGGATCTGAGGAGTCAGAACCGTTTCATGTGCCGGCGCTTTCGACAGTCGGGTTCAGTTTGCGATGCCCGCGCCACAGTGGCGTGATGTTTGCGAGGGTCCAGTCGAGGCTTGGAATGTTTCTGCAGCACAAGGTAATCAACATGGCTCAATCCGGAAGCACTTGGACTAGTGATTGCCTGGGTGCAACCGTTGAAGAGTACGGCTGCAACTCGGCTGTTACTTGCCGTCGACTTGCTGCCAACGCGAGCTCCTTGAGGCAGCCTGGCCGACTTCGTCACTCTGGTACAGGACTACGACCAGCGCCTGGCAAACGCCCTCCACTCAGCTCTAGCCGGACCCGGACCGGAGTCCGCTTGCAGAGCTCGCTATGAAGCCGATCACCCCAAGTTTGAGATGCAGTTCAGCACGGGAGATCGACACAGCTTCGATAGGAAGCGGGTTTTGTGAAGTCGCGAGCTTGAAATGACAAAAAGGGGATCAAATAAAGCCAGACAAGACTATAGAGATTTAGCAGTGCTCAACGAGCAGAAGGAGCGACATGGGTGTTGAGTTGTCTGCCCTGTCACGCAGGCGGGCGGGGGGGGGTGAAGCCTGGGTTCATTTAATTTACGTCAACCGCAAGCTTGTCGAGCATGGCTACCCAGGCTGCATGGTCCGGGGAAAACATTTCCAGAACTCACGCATGACCTGCTTACTTGGAATCAGGCCCACTGCCCAGCACAGTAGTGGCCACCGAGAACTCGAACAAGCCTCCCCTCGAACTCGGCCCAACTCTTTGGAGTGGGGTGGAGCAGCGATGGGGAATTCAGGTTCAGATGGAGCGTCTATTCATGTTGCCCTCTTTCCCGGAGCCTGTTCGACAAACAATGAACGGTGTTGCAAAGTGCGGTCTGGGAGTTCTATGAGATAATGCTACTTCATTTCTGTCACGTCGAGTTGGAGAACTCCGGCCGGGCATAGTTCCTCCGGGAGATATTTTCTTAGGAGCAGGAAGGAGGCTGCGTCCACATCTTTCCCTTCAATAGAGAGAGAGAGAGAGAGAGATATATATATATATATATATAATGACTCCTTAGCATGCCGATGGATGACCTGAGTGATGCCTACGGGGTTGTACATCGGTCACGGGCTTAGCAGGGGTGTTTTCGGGGGGGGGGGGTCAGACAAGGTACACTCAGGGGAACTCGGCATCGGCCCTAATACAGGGCGAACACGACAGACGCGCGCCGAGGGGGTAGGCCTTCGGGCCAGGGTTCTTTCGGGAGCCCACACCCCTAGCAAGCAAGCAAGCAAGATATATATATAATATATATATATATGTCTCCTAATTATCGGCTAGGTAGGTCTGGAATTGGGGGATCAGTTTTGCGATCGTAAGAACTGCCCTGAGGCCATTTATCCGTGGCCATTTTGGCACGAGCCGATCGGCCGTGCCCAAAAGAACCCACCCACTCCGCCCTTTTCTGTTCTT